TAATGGCATGTGCATTTGTTTCATTAGGCATCTGGCAAATGGTGTTGAAAGTATGAACGAAATCCAGCAGATCGAGTGGTTAACGGCTAGCAGCGGCAAACATTTCATTAGCACTACCATCTGTCATCGTACTCTCTGTGCTTTGTTCTAAGCTTCCATCTCATAGCATCAACCGGGAAGCATTCTATGCCTCAAGGCCGACCGGAATGCCTCTTCGCTACTACACAGCGGAGATGCACGTTCCGGTCTTACTTCTGGGCTCTAGTCTTTTCGTGTCTTTGGTTTGGAGTTTAGGCAAAGCCTAGAAGCTGAGGCGACCCTTCAGCAATCATAGGGACCCTTATTAAGGCCTTATTATATATGTATTAAGGCACCCTAGCCGCCTCCCCCCTATCCCCCCTAAGGGTCCCTATGAAGTACTGCGATTCCCTGAAAGATGAGTTGCTCGGATCGAGACTTTGGAGGCTTAAGCGCCCCATGCTTATTGCTTCGAGCTTCTGTGTATGGAGGGTTTCAGCAAACTCGGGGGGGGGGGGGGTCCCTTTTTAGCGGTCCCCATGATAAGGATCAACATTATAATTGGGAAATGCAAAGGTTATCATTTTCGGGAGCTCCCATTTCATGTTGATCGGTACGGAGGCTCGGTGTTCTGCCGTAGACAGCTGTGTTTGATTGGTGTCCGTATGCTTCTCAGTTGCGAGGTGGTCGAAGTGTGTGGGTTTTCAGCTCCTGCTGCTGCTGCTGCCGCTCTTCATCCCTTCTGCAATCACGGGTACTACTACAACTACTCCATATGACGACGCGACTAGCACTTCAATTGCTCGTCCTACTGCTGCTGCTGCTGCTGCCGATGCTGCTGCTGATGCTACCGCTTTTGCTATTCCTCCGCCGCCGCCTCCTCCACCATGCTGCCGCCGCTACTACTACTACTACTACTACTACTACTACTACTACTACTACTACTACTACTACTACTACTACTACTACTGCAAGTACTAGTGCTAGTAGTGGGCTGAAACATTCTCCCGGTAATTCACAATTGAACAGTAAAGGTCAGTGTTTTGCGAACCGCCCACAGCCTGAAGCATGTACCAAAACTGCTCCTCTGCATCCCAACCCCGACTGGACCACGACTCTAGAAATACTGCCGACAGACAGGGCCACGCGCGAATCCCTGAGGCAGCAGCCTTTGCGCTTCCTGCCTTCTTGCGGAAGCGGCTTAAGGCGGGCTTTTCTCTCGGAAGCTCAGGGTTCAGGCATTAGGGTTTAGGGTTGACTTCGGGTCTAGGATTGTTTGCAAAGAACAGTATATATATATATATACATGGTGGGAGCCAGAACCGATCCAGAGCATTTCGCTTGGTGGTCAGCGACTTCGGGACCTGTGAACCTCTAGACTCGTATACGGGCCTAGATAATTACCAAACTCTGTTTGGGGGGGGCATTATTATATAACTATAGTATAATGGGCCCCAAACCCTATTCTTAATTATCGAGGCCCCTATACTACACGGCAACACTCATGCTAAATCCTGAACTATCCCAAATCCCCACCGAGACCCTGAACAAGCAGCCAAGCTCCACGCATCAACGCACCAAGCCTGAATCCAAACAACAAGAAAGCTTACGGTAGTCCTGATACTATCCCTATCAGGTTATTTTTTTTACCGTAATCCTTCGAGTAGAAACCCGACAACAGTGACAACGGACTCCCGAATAATGTAAAACCGATACGTACAGCTACCTACACCCTTCACCCTAAACCCCTCAACCCTATACCCCTACACCGCGACCCCTAAACTCTTATAATTAGGGCCTTACACATCAGAGTATCCAAGCAGGCGGCTGAAGGATCTCCAGAGAAACGACTGAGGCTCTCCTGGCAGTGACCAGTGACGGCCGAGGTGGATTCTGTACCAAACCGGTTCCGCTGAAGGGTTTTAACTTCAAGTTCTGTAATATAAGGATTTGTATAGGGTTTCAGGTTCTTAATTTCACGAAAGATTTCCGGCCGTGGTCAGCGTTTAGATTTCGCTGCTCTTTTCTGCAGTCGTTTTATCAAGCATCTTTCTGGTCAGTGCTCTACGGAGACCCTAACTTATACTACCCCCTTTCAGACCCGTATCGAACCTCTGTACAAACCTACAGAATTCTTTAATACCCTTATAAAATCCTTCTGATACGAACGGTCTTAATCGGAAACCGGAACACCCTGGGCCGCAAAAGCCTTGTCTGGGACTTCCGGTCCTGTATAGTCACGGCTGTTGATTACATGTTTCGGTTTTTCGCGACACATGTTTTTTTCTATATATATATATATATATACATACTGCTTCATCATATCACGTGTTGGTCATCTTGTTCATTATACTATTGTTGCTATATTGTATTATATTTCCGCATAAAGCAAGAATCGTCCTCACAACAAGGGTGAATTGCAGTCAATCCCCTCAGGCCCCAGAATGCAGATGCACAGATTGTTCAAATCCTAGAGGCTATTTTGCAGCCGGGCTCTACTCGGAGACTTAGCCATAGTCTCTTGAACGCATCCCTCGACCCACCAGGCGCCTTAAACCCTGAGACACTCCAGCACCTCAAACCCATAACGTCCTGAATCCGGAAATCCACAAACCTTTAGCCCTGCATAATGGCCCCAAAAGCTTAAAGCCTCAAGAATTTTCGAGGCCGAAAACTTTGACTACGCCGCGAGTTTAACAGCCGCATATCGACCTTCTACCGGTTTGGGGTCGACTAAACCCAACATCGAGCTTTAGGACCAAGACGTTACAGACAGTACGAACCTTACACATGAACCCTAAACCGTGCAAGGCTTCGGACGCTTTCTCCCAGAGATCGGAGGGTTTCGGGCAGGGCGAGACACCACGAACTTCGGAGAAACAGCCGCGACGGGGAGTTTGGTTTTCAGGTCTGTTTAGGGGTCAGGGTCGAAGGTGGAGGGTTTGTATTTGCGGGTGAGGCTTCAGGTGCAGGGTGTAAGGTATGCAGCAATCTGGATCAGTGGTGTAGACAGCAAGGAAAGCTGATCCACTCAGTTTGTTCGAAGCCAGGGTCTCTCGTCCTCAACCATGCAGCAATGCGACTTTGCGACCCTACGCGGCTTGCTGCACTTGGCTCAAAGAGGGGGGCCCTTCACCGGAAGGATGCCCACCATCCCCCAGCTTCAACGGAGCGGCCAGGCCAGCTTGACATCTACATACGTCCGTGTGCAGGAACACACACACACACACACACACGGAGACACACATTCGCTTGCATAATCGCATACATATGTTTATATATATATATATATACACACATACATATACGTATACATACATATATATACACATTAAACTACATCAATACATTAATATTGAGATATTCGAATATATGCAGACAGATTAGCAGCACGTGAGATTACCGCTGACATGTTTTCTAAGCTAGTTCCTGCGAAAGCCAAAGGTGCATGTTTGCTCAATCGGTAGCTACGCCGTGACATACAGAAGGGGCCGTCTTTCACGGCCATACCGGGTTGAGCCGCCTTCCCATGACATTATTGCTAAAGGAAAGGTACTCACACTTTGGGCAACGTCGCAACATGAAACGTGCCCGTTTGTATCAGACGAATAGCAGATCCATTCAAAGGGTAGTCGGCCGGCGCATGAAGCATCGTTTATTTCGAAGCCCAAAGCACGACACAACAGTGGCAAAGTTGTTCGTGACCGTCATCCGCTATTGGAGGGGGCCGCAAGCAGGGTCGCAGCCTCGCGCTGGTCCAAGCCTCCCCACCAAGGCTTAAGCGTATAAGTTTTTGTACGAGGTGTGTGGTTGTTTCAAACCAGGCGGCGATGCGCGCCTTGCCCGGCCCTGAGAGAGCCAGCAGGGGTACCGTGACGTGTTTGCTGCAGTCTGATGTTGAACAGACTGTTGCTTGAGGGCGAATCCCCTTAACCCTTTGTTCCGTTTCACTTCCTGCCATCACTTGGGTCGTTCAACCTCAGCGCCCTTGCCAATTGGGATGCTGTTCACCCTGAGGCACAAATGACAGGAGTGCCTTGGGTGGATGCATCTTACTGTTTCAGACAGGACGATAGCGCTCCCATGCAAACAATGTGAGTCTTCTCTCCCACACCATGACCATATGCACATGCATACGCGTACCTATCGCACATCCATAGTCCGAGATCTCGAGCTATACTATCAGGCGAAACAACCCTTAGTACGTAGAGTCACACACACACACACACTCTGAACCGTACGATTCAGCCTACACCCTACAACCTGGCCTTTTCCGATTGGATTAAGGTGCCTTTTGCTGGTCATCTCCAGCGCCGAAGCTTACGACAGGCACCATGCCCCCCCCCTTTCGCGAGAGAAGCAGTAGTTACGGCTGAAGTTCAGGCTGTCTTTGGATCTTTGGGTTTCAGGGTTTATGGTTTGGGTTTCGGGTTTTGGGGGGGGGTTTCGTGCTGCTGCTTCCGCGAGACTTGTCCTCACCGTGCACAGCCTGGTTTCCTGAGACTGGAGCCCCAAATTCCCAAGCCCGAGCTGGATCCCGCCTGAGCTTGATCCGTGGAATTTCATGGAACGGAAAGCTAGCATGTGAAGAGAATCATCTGAGAAAACCCAATCTTCCTGCTTCGTGCTTGCAGCACAACCCTGTCTTCCTCCGAACAAGGAAGCTCGCACTTAGAAGAACCAACGTCATTGCAGGGTCGAGTCGTCGTGCAAAGTCAGAATCGCTTGCCGTTTGCATCATGATTTCATGATGCTGGTGGTCTGCGCCATCAGCACGGCCGCCACTATCGTCATCGAGATCGTAGTTATAGCCACATTTCATCGTCAGCATCACCATTTCCACAAGCAGTTCCTTCCCTGCTCGAATTCTGATAACCTATAATTGCACAATTGTCCTGACGAGCGCCTCTAACCCAGAAACATCGGCTTGCAACCCTAAAGCCTGAAGCCATAGTCTCATAGTCGTAAGACACCATCCCGAGATCGCTCCGGGGCGGTCGGCAGTCGCCCAGCCCCCAGCCTTCAAGCTTTAGGTTAAGGAGTGCTGTGTTGAGGGCCGTGGTGAGTCTCGAAGGGGCTTTGGGTTTTCTTTGCGCGTCCTTGAGGTGACACTAGCTGAAAAGTAGGTGCTTCAAGTCGCGCAATGCGGTCTATGTCTAATTATGGTGCACGCTACACTTCTATACTGTTCTGTACGCAGGGATATTTCGGCGGGGAATAGTCTTCTATGCAACTCCTGTTGATGCGCATCTTGAGCATAGAGTACGCACGATAAAGAAGACATGACCATGCAGTCAAATCATATTTTTGCGACCCAGAGGCATGCATGCTAAAGGTTATGTATGACGGCACAACCATATTGTGCTCTTAATCTACAGATCCAGACGATGCAGTCTATCTTGACAACCTTGGAGAATTCAGCCAGTATTATCGTTGGTGTACCCACGAAGCATGCACTACGCGTTTTATCAATCCACAAGCCACTGCTAGCTGTGAGCAGCTGCTAGATAAAGATGATCACTTATCGCAGTGGCCGCTGATGGCCCCTGCAAAGATTGATGCTGTTGGAGGTTGACCTTTCGAGGCTTCTGTTTCTGTTGAAGTGAACCGAAAAAACACAGGAGAAGCGGTGAAGCAGAAAGCATGCGGACGAGCCAAACACATCGGTGGAGGGCGGTTGTCAGCACTTGGGAGTTGGGACGCCTTTCCGCCGTCTCTCTTTCACACCCTTGGTCGCCTCTGGAATGGGTGTATCGGGGTTTAGGGTGTAGGGTGTTTTTTCTGAAGGATTTGCAGGTGTCTTGGTATCGGTGCCAGATTTGGACCGTGAGGCAGCTCAAGATAGCTGGTCCAGTCCGCGACCTAAACCCAAAACATCCCAAAACGCTAGACTCTGGCTTATGTTATAAGGCCTTGCCACTGCCAGATCGACTCGCAGCACTGGAGCCGGCCAACAAGGCCAGCAAATTATCATTCCATGTTTCAAGTGACGTCATGCCCAGGAGAAATGCATTCTTACACTTCGCAAATCTCAATGCCTCCACGAACATACAGACCTAAGCCTAGGTAAGCGTGCACACACGAGTCACACGGTGAGGAAAGTCAGACAGACAGCACCAGCAACATGTACTAATGTCTGCATGTTCCATGCAGTTTGCTTCAGCCCGCGAGTCATGAGATGGTGTTGACAAAGGTGTTGATGACAATCACGGTGATGCTGCTACATAGAATCGCTACAATGCGCTCTCCTATGCTGACAATTGTTTCGGTCATGGTTCGTGCTTAGGCCTTTGGTCGCCAACAGACAGAGCAGTCATTACTCACCAAAATAATCACCATCGCCACCTCCTTGCGGCAGGAGTGTCCTACTAGTACGACTACTACGGCTACTACTACTACTACTACTACTACTACTACTACCACTACGACTACTCTTCTACTACTACTACTACTACGACTACTACTACTACTACTACCACTACTACTACTACTACCACCACGACGACGACTACTACGACTACTACTACTACTACTACTCCTCCTCCTACTACTACTACTACTACTACTACTACTACTACTCCTACTCCTACTCCTACTCCTACTCCTACTACTACTACTACTACTACTACTGCTAATACTACTACTACTACTACTACTACTACTACTACTACTACTACTACTACTACTACTGCTACTACGACTAGGACTAGGACTAGGACTACTACTACTACTACTACTACTACCACTACCACTACTACTACTACTACTACTACTACTACTACTACTACTACTACTACTACTACTACTACTACTACTACTACTACTACTACTACTACTACATCGACCACTGCCGCTACCACGATCACTCCGACGACCGCATCGACGCTTGCGACGACGCCGACGACGACGGTAATCACACAGACATGCTTCTTTTACCCCAACATTACAGCGATTGTACATGATGATGAAGCGCTTGTTGAGTCCAAAGCGTGTTTTGAAGACCTGTCCTCGCAAACAGCGTCATGAGCCTTCCGAATGAATGTTCTCTTGTGCATGTCATTCAGGCAGCTTGAGGTTTCGGGTGGATTCGTATGGCTCTTCAAACCCTAAGCTGCCCTTATCCTTACAAGATAGCGAGCAGGACTGAACCGCACTGCGTCTTCATCGACCTCGGCGCAGGGTCCGGCGCGGATTTGCAGGTTGGGAAAGGACTATAGCATCAGAGGAGCTTTGACTAATGAACATACTTCGCAGGCCAATATTCCATTGTAATTACTGCAAAGCGCAAGTCTCACAAGCCCAACCCTAAACCCTAAAACTCCAGATGCCCTGGATCCTGGAAGCCTTAGCTTCAATCGGTCCATTCCTTGTTACGGGACCTGCGGCGCATTGGAATGCCTATACATATATCGCTATCAGTATTTAATGCTAAAGCCGTCAAGGTCTAAGAGCTCAGAAGCATCCTTAGACCCAAGAGCACGATAAAAGGGCCCTAAAACCCCAACAACTCCTGAACTCCTAGAATTAGAACCCTGCGCCCTGAAGTCCAGAAATGTCCCAAAGCCCTTTGTTCGAAGGCCTGGGCTGAAGGGAAGTTCGGCCCTGTGGCCAATTGCCCCAGCGGCAAGTGGGAGGCCATCCTCGTCGAGGCCACGCCCTGCGGAGGGCATCTGGGGCATTGCAAGGTTTAGAGGTTTCGGGATTTTGGGCTTTGTGGTTGAAGCGGCTTTGCCCTTCGCAGCTCAATGACTTAGTATTAGTTGATGAGTTCATTAAGTAAACAAATGCTTAAACTGAATAGCTAACCATCAATTTCCCCATTTGTTTCCCATAAAGGTTCAGGGTAGACAGTTGATGAATTGGTTCTTTGCACTTGGATCTGAAGCCGGCTGTTTCAGCGAAGACCGTTGCTGTCGCTCTTGGGTTGCCTACGACAACAACGGCGGCCAAGACTACCTGTGGGGTCATACCCCACCCCGGTTTTGAGGTACGTGCTTTTGACAGAAACTAACCATGAACTTAGGGACCTCAAGGAAAAGGGTAGGGTATGACCCTATAGGTATTGAAGGTATAGCAACACTATACGCTGCTACTGGCATTTCGGAGATTGGCAGTGCACCGTATGCTAGAATCATAGTCACCTCTCCCTCAACTAGTTTGTTTTCATTACAGGCCATACCTTGGTTGCTTGTTGATGCCGCTTTTTGTGTTGCTATATGATGGGCCTCCTGTGTTCGTGGCCGTCAACAAAGTGTTTGCCTGTCCGTTGATGATCTTCTGGGTCGTGTTTGCTGGGCGTCTGGAGGTTAGTTGTTGTTACATATGGTGCACGCTGGGCTACTGCATTATCGCAGTCCGCTCGGCATGCGTGTTCTCCCTGCTTGACAGGGACGGTACGTAGTAACCAATAGTATGGCCGGATGTTCGTATTTCACGGAATAGTCCAATATACCCTTTAAACCTTCTTCTCGAGGCACTGACCGTTGCATAAATATGTTGGGTGACTGCAGATCGCGAATAGTGCCCCGGTAGTGGCCTGCGATTCCAGCCATAGACCATATAATCAATAATCAATATTGTAATACTGGTGTTTTTTTGGATTATAATAAACGTGGGCTGGAGGCTGGAACACGCTCGACTAAAATAGAACCAGGGTGATCTAGTTACGGCAGCAGCAGGTCTATGATCTTAGTAGCAGAAGGTCCTGGCTTGGGCTTGCCACAGGCCAATCCGATCTTGACAGAGACTCTCAACGGTGTGGCGCAGAAGTATGCGGGCAAGGCTTTGGGGCGTCTTCTCAATCGTTCGACGCTGTTTTTGTCGAGTCGCCTGCTTCGTTGGTGGACACTGTTGGCCAGACGGCTCACGGCTCTCCCAGAGACATCGTTGTCCTATGTCTTGGGAACAAGTCAAGTTCATATTGTAATTGTGGTCTGCTACGAGCAGTAGCATTCCGAGTTCAGTCATCTCCAATTCTCGTATTGTGAGCATTGCTGTACACAGGTGCAGGTGAACGCATCCCGGGCAGCGTACATGTGTGAGGCAAAGACAGACGGGCTCTCGGGCAATACCATTCGCACAGCTGCATCCAGCAAGCCCGACCTGGAGTGTTCCTTCTGGTCGTTGTTGCAGCTGATGTCTTGAGTCTGGATTCATGTCAGGTTTGCACGCTTGCGACCATATATTTCTGTCAACTGAGTGTGTCTTTCTTGTTATCTTGTAAAACTGATTCTTTCGCTTGGTCTCGTTCTCTCCCTCTCTGTCTCTGTCTCTATCTTTCTCTCGCTGTCTCTTCTTGTCTTTCCTCTCTTTCGTAAACTTATAAATTATGTTTTGAAAGGTAAAGAGTCAGAGACTAAGAATAGAAATAGCATCAATAACGCGCAGTACGCGGTGCACGCTGGTTAGTGACTGTAACTGAATGAAGCGAGCTTCCTACCAGGGGAAGGGTCTGGGATTAGGCCCACCGAACCCTAAACTATCCTAAACCCTACACCGGCCAATCTTGCTGAGGCCTTCTACATCAACACAAACGAGCAGCAGCTGAAGAAGTCGTCTTCTGTGTCTGCCGGCTTTCAGGAGGCAGGATGGTCGAAACGTCAAGTAGGATGCAAAACGTTTGTGTCAAATGGCGCGTCATGGGCCGTTGTCAGCTTCTTCTACGTGTCTTTCGGAACCATGAGCGAGGTTTGTATGCGGTCCCGGTTTTGCCCACCTACTCGTAGTACGAAAAGCAGACATGCTGTCTGTGGTGCACATTGTCAGCAGGACATCTAGGCACAAGATTGAATCTTGCTGGCCAGTCCACCTATACGTTTCATTTCAGTGAAGGTCATGAATTTTTCTGTATACGTCCCAGCGCATGTGCCTATTGAGACTGGAAGGGTGTACAATTTCTCGAACAGTGCTGTTAATGCTCCAAGCCTGCACCGTATGTAACAACCTTTAAGAATGTCTCTTACAGTAACCCCCATGATATCCCTTAAGCCCCCATATTATCCTTAAGCTACCGGTATACACAGTTTCAGTACAAGCCTGCGTTTGCAGCTGGAGAGCCTCGGAAACCCGATGCCCTACACCCTAACATGGAAGCCTCAATAAGTACCAATACTGTCCCTCAGGGTTCTATGATAAAGTAATGGTAAGTACAGTATTACCCCAAAACCCGTTCTCTGCTCAGGATTTTGCTTTGCTGTTTTCTTTCTGGACAAAGTGGACACAAAAATGCACTGATTCAGCTGTCAAAATTTTCACTTGGACGCATGCGCTTGCACTCTTTGTGCAGCATGGTGGCGCTTGCGCCAATTTTCCCTGCAGCAGTGTCAGTTTGTGGGTAGGGCTTCTTACAAGCTGCGAGTTCTTTCTTCTTTCTTGTTTCAAGCACAGCACCAGAATTCGGATTTATGCGAGATGTGTTTTTCTAACGATGTTCAAGAAAAATGGCTTGAATCCTTCCCGAATGAAGCTGTTTTCCCGGAGAATCTTTTTTTTATCCCGCAGTGGGACTTGAGTCAGGCTTCAGCTGATCTTCAAGCAATTCGTGTTGAAACGCGTCTGGCGGAAAATGTTAATTCACAAGTCTTGCGTATCACCCCTGCCACATTTTGTGATACGGTGGGTTTGCGTAGTAACATTCTTATGACTACACCCTTATCTGCAGGTTGGCCTATTCCGCGGTTTAGATGCAAAGGTAGGCCTTTTCCTTGGATACAGCAAGTATGGGATTTAAGAAATGACGCTGCCAATAACAGTTTTTCCAAAGTTTCTTGTGTGACGCATCGTGCCTTGGACTCATGGGACAATATGTCAGCTGCTGACATTCGTGCCTGGCTGCCGACTAAACCTGGGCCAATTCTTCGCTTCAAAGCAGGCCTTAAGCGCCTTCAGCGGTCTCAGGCTCATCTTGAACAGTTTCAGCAGAAACAATTGCTCGAAGATTCTTTTCGTACTCACATTCTTGCACGGCGTTGGAGCTCTGAGGAGCCCTGTGTCAATTGCGCTAAGCTTCTTCGTCTTTCTTCCGAACCCAGAAATCTTGCCCGTAGATGTCCCACTCCGCATGACATTCCTGTAGCCACGGGCACCAAGAATTCGGTGCCATGAACCAATCTGTTAGTCGTATCGTTGAGGAGCTTATAGCTTAATTTGCTCTGAGAGTTACTGTTCAAAGAGTGCACCTGTCACTCTGCTTCTCTTTGATCGCCCCGACGTTCAGTCCGCTTCACCCCCAAACCCTGTTCTAATTCATAAGGCTCATCTAAACCTTTATAGAATAATCAAAGAATCCCTTACAGGACCCCCTAAAGGGGCCTTAGAAGGCCCTGGCTGCCAGGCTTCTGTGCTCGGCACCGAGCTGTCGAAAGTCGAGGCCTGCCTCCATGGGAAGGGCCTTGCAAGGATTTATGTACATGTCAAAGGATTTATGTCAAAATATTGATGCATGAGATCCCGAAACGAAATACAGCATACTATACCACAATGTTGAGCCCTTCCGCAGCGTGGCCTTTCCAGGCTTCAGAGATTATGGTGTTGGGCTTTGGAGCTCGCCAGATGCCGTGATTTTACAGTGGACAGCACTGTAACTGTAGGGCAGAGAAACCTACAGCTGATACGAAAAATCCTTCATCAACTATTGCAGAGAGTTCCTTAGCCCCGCATTTCAAGTTTGAGCTCGTTTTAAATGGCAAAGAGACCAGGGTTGGCAAATGTACAAAGGCCTGAGTGACCTCATGGCCTCCACAACGTTGAAATCGATGTGCGGGGAAGCATAGCACACGTCCTGCAGACGAGCATGCTCAGGTAGGTCATGCAGGCTTCCTTAGTTCATGGACACCGCACAAAGGCTTGAAAAGGGCACCGGTATTTGCATGTTGTGCTAAGGCTACACCGCACCGGCTCGATGTTTGTTGAAGTCTGGATCACCTGCCCCACTGAATAAGCCTCGTAACAGCAAGAAGGGTGCTGACCGCACTTGTAAGAGGACTTGAGGCCCTTAGGCACTGGGTGGAAGTAACTGAAACAGTAATAGGTGCCGCTGGGCATGCTCTAGAGTTGTTCTTTATGCATGTTGCACTTCAGCTTCTGTTACGACAACGTCGGAGGTGACAGGAAAGACACTGACCACAATCACGCATTCGGCGACATTGTTACTTTCGCGCTGCTGTACCACCCCGGGCAGTACCTGCACTGCCGGCACCACGGCGAATACACGTCTTAGCAGCCGCGTTTATCACCATGAATCACCCAACGACATCCGCATTTCCACCACTATACGGGTCAACGTTGCAGTTGTTGCTGTTGTTGTCAACATCACTGTCGCTACCGTTATCGTCATCACCGTCTTCATGACCATCATCATGGTCTTCTTCTCCTTCGCATCAGCATCCAAGTGATCCATCGCATCAATACCGATATCAGCATCCCCACCATACTCCTCCAGATATCATCCGTTGTCATGATTACTATGATGATGGTCAGCATCTTCATTATCCACAGCAGGTTGACACAGTGAATGTGAATCGCCTGCTCACGGAGAACACGATTCCAGGCGAGCTGCCTTTGATTGAAAGCTTCGTGGAGGGTCTAGAGCTTTGGTTGAAGGCTGTTGGCTGTATCTAGGTTAAGAGCCTACCATAAGCAACAGGGCAACCGGACTACGAGGTTTGTCTAGGTATGGCACAACACGCAGGTTTGTCAGCCACTCAACTCTGTCGTAGTTGGCCTGCATAGTGTCTGTCAGCAGATGTTGCAAGCCAAATCGTGAACACAACGCCATCTGTGGGCTTAGAAGCAATGGCAATAGGCCAGTCGAGCAGTCATTCTTCCAAAATGACCGGGAGAAGCACCGCTAGCATAAGTGGAACATTGCTGGACAAGTGGCAACAGCAGCAAGGAATTAATTGTTGAGCCGTCTCAATATAGAAGTACTTGCTGGTACGAATCATGACCGACAAGCGTCATCAGTGCCTGCTCCATGCCCAAAGAGTTATCACTGTCATACAGATCTGGCTGAGCATCACCATGGGAGTGACACTTGAAATTCCACCTGCAGATAGGATGGAGATGTCAGAGATGTCAGACAGAGCTGGCCGAATGTCAGCTGGTAAGACGCTTATTTGTGCAGAAGAGCTCGCATGTCGGATGCTCATCCCGACGAACCTTCTTGGGTTGTTCTATACTGTTCACGAGCACGATTTCTCCAAACAGGGCGGTACACACTATTGGTTTCTGATGTCGAGAGTAAAAGAATCAGTGTTTGCGGGTTGTGGTAGTGAGGTCTTCCGGAAGCCGGCCGCATGCTTTGAGCTCACGTCCCAGTATTTAAATGGGATCCGTCGGGCCGCGTCCCTCGGAAAGCCAGAGCAGCTGTAAATTCCAATACCTTGGCCTCCTTTTGGCCTCCAATTGTCTGAGTTCCGCCAGTGTTTGGGGGAAGCATGTTGGCCGTGCCCCGAAATCCCGCTACAGTATCAGAATCCTGACAGTATTATGGGGTCAGCGTATGCGGTGATTTTGTCTCCTGCTGGTCTCACCTGGTGTTCCTTTGGTGGTTTACTGGTGCAATTCTGAGTGGTCTCCTGATGGCCTTTTGCTGGTCTCTTGGTGGTATCCTGGTGGTCGTGCTGGTCGTGGTCGTCCTGGTCCATCTGGTCAACGTGATCATTCAAATGGTCCTGATATTTTGGTCGTGTTGGTCGTCATGGTCGTGGTCCTCCTGATCGTCATGGTCGTCGTGGTGCTTTGTCACTGCTCGGGGATGTATGCTGGCGCAATTCGTGCTATGAGCACATCTGTTGCTTGCAGCATCGTTGTCGCTGTTGATGACTTGCAAGTTTGATTAACAGAAACAGTGTCCGCAATCATTGCCACCACCATGGCATCACAAGGGATATACGACATGCAGCAAGGGTAGTAACGCTGAGGTGGATGTGGTTTCTCAAGCAGTCACTAACCGTAGCAAGAGATTCGGCCAGACCTCAATATAGTCCCTGTATAGTTGAACATTGAGTTAAACTATAATGCATCCCAAAACCCTGTTTTGTAACTGTCAAGGCTTCTTTATTAAGCCATGAACCCTGGAACCTTCATCGTCCTCCTCCCAAGACCTGAATGAAGACCCGAAGCCAGAAGACCGAACGCGTTAAAGACCTGAAGACCCTAACACCACTCGGAAGCACCAATGCCTACACCACTACATTCTGCAACCCAAACCTTCCAGTCTCGAGGGGACTGGGTCATGATGAAGATGGACGTTGAGGGAGCTGAGCCGTGGCCTTAAAAAACGGCGTTTGCCTCCCGCATTCAGCTTACGGGTTGGGCTTGGGCTGGGCTATTGCTCCCTAAACTCAAACCTTATGGTGATACACACCAGAGCTAGCTTCTAAATACTAAGGCTCCCTTGTTATCCTATATGCCTGACCTTTATCCTCTTTTGAGACAGGAGATGCAGTATCTCAGAGGCTAGCCCGGCTTGTTCGAACACACCTCCTCTTCGTCTAGAAGTATCGCGTAGCGCGTCATTTCGGCACGATATCCCATGCGCGGAGCTCGAAAGCCCGACCCTGTTCCACAAAGACGGTCTGTGAGCTCATGCCTGCTTGGTCAGTTTGAGTGGAGCCACACCACAAGTGTAGCATTAGCGTCATCATCCCGGCCTTGTTATTACTTTGCAAGTATATTGCGTAGATACATATATATATATATATATATATACACACACATATACACACATACAGCTAGGTACAAGCTTGTACACATATAATATGTGTACAAGGAAAAATTCATATATAATGTATATGTGTATATGTATACATATATATATATATACAGATATGTATATATTCACTGGTGTATGTGTATGTGTACATGTATATGTGTATGTGTTTGTAGATGTATATGTATTTCTATATGTGATTATGTGTATGTGTATGTGTAGACAAATACGAATACATGTGTACACATACACATACATATGTCCATGTTGTCATGTATGTATGTATGTACCTCGTTTTGTTTACTCGTTTTTATGGTTTGGGGTCTTCCCAAACCCTTTGCTCGCAACCTCGAGAGCTGCCAAATCGGCCTGCTAGCAGAAAAGCTCCCAGGCACAGTGGTCGAAGGGTCCGGTAGAGTGTGGCAATGAAGGTAGCTTTTTATCTTTTACTGCGCGTGATCTATACGACTATAAGACGAAGATTTCGGCATTGGAAAGGGGAGTCGCAGGTTCGACATCATTCCATGCATGGCCGAGTCACCGGCGGGCAGTTTGGTTGACAGGCGCAACTGCTGTCCTGAAAGCTTCGCTGTCTGTTTCCCAGATAATCAACACTTGTGTTCGTGTACATAGTAGTTGTAGTCTCATTATCAATGGTACCGGTCTTTGTGACTGTTCTAATCATTCTGTCGCTGCAGGTCTCGATCTCTGCAACCCATTCATCGAGAAGTGCTTGGTTGCTATCGCACCGAACATACACGACCTTGTACACCAAGCTTCCAGTGCTACGAGACCAGCATGGATAGGATTTCGGAGTTTGCAAAGTTGTGGCAGGCTCTACGTGGAACAGCATGATCCAGGCGCCTGAGCAGACGCGATGTATGCTTGTAGGCTTGCAGCATTTGCCTGCTACTGTTACTGCTGCTACTACTACGATAATTACTAACTACTGCTACTGCTACTACGCCGACGACGACGACTGCTACTACTACTACTACTACTACTACTACTACTACTACGAATACTACTACTACTCTACTACTACTACTACTACTACTACTACTACTACTACTACTACTACTACTACTACTACTACTACCGCTACTACTGCTACCTCGTTCTGCTGCTGCTGACTACGCGGACCCCCATTGCTACCACTATTACTACCAGTTCTAATATTGTTTTTTTTGTCTTTGTCGGCGCAGCGTTTGTTCAACGCTTTGCGAGGCCTTGGCAGGACAGTCACCTGAGTGACCCGGCTGTCGAGCAGCTGCGCTATGCATTCTATTAGTACTACTACCACCACCACCACTACTACCATCACCACCACCAGCACCACGACCACGACCACGACCACGACCACTAGCACTAGCACTAGCACTACCACTACCACTACCACTACTACTACTACTACTACTACTACTACTACTACTACTACTACTACTACTACTGCTACTGCTACTACTACTACTACTACTACTACCAATACTAATACAAATACTTATACTAATACTGCTGCTGCTGACTACGACTACGCCTATTCCGAACACTAAGACTACCATTTCTACTTCTACTACTACTACCAGCACCACTACAACTACCAATACGTCTAACACTGCTACTACCACTACCACTACCACTACAACTTCCACTTCCACTACGACGACGACGACGACGACTACTACTACTACTAGTACGACTACGACTACGACGA